GGGTTTAGGGTTTAGGGTCAGGTTTGGGGAAACAGTCAGGCACCAAAAGATCCTGAAGACGGTCCCACAGAGGTCTCTGCCAACTTCTTTGCAGAAGCGCTGACTCTGAGGGTAGTGGGCTATTCTTGTGGAACTTAGCCTTAAGCTGCCATACTAAGGAAACTACGCTCTTTACTGTAGATCCACAACGATTGTGGATCTACAGTGAAGAGCGTAGTTTCCTTAGTACGGCAGCTTAAAACCTAAGCTCCACTCAATATGGCAGCTTAGACCAAATTCCCCAAAAAGCACCCGGTCACCCGGCCGGCAGAGACCCCGACCCGCTGCTGTTCTTCCAGGTCACGGTGACAGTGATGGTATCCTGCCAAGCAAACAGAGACCCAAAAGGGGTTTAGGGCCCTATATGAACCCTAAAAAGGGGGTTTAGGGCCCTTTATGAACCCTTTAATGCCTAAGCCTCTGAACCCCATGCCGTAAACCCCAAACCCTATACCAAAAAGCCTAAGCCCTGTATCAAAAAGCCTAAATCTTATACCATAAAGCCCGAACCCCAGTTTTAGGGTGAGTTTAGGGTTTAGGGGAGGGGGAACTCGAGGCCTCGCAGGGCCGGGACAGAATCTTCTGCGCGACGCCGGTGGACCTGGGATTTAGGGTTCTTACAGAGTTTAGGGTTTAGGGCTTATGGTTTTAGGGTTTAGGGTTTAGGGTTCGCAAAGGGTTTCGGGCTTGGGGGTCTTATAGGTGCGAGTTCGGGAACTTCTCGAACAACCCTTAGGGGGTTCCTTTAAGGGTTCTTGAAGGGCACAAAAGGGCTGTAGCTTTCTTGGCAAGGGATCCCTGAATGGCACGGTTTAGGGTTCAGGGCCCCGTCAGAGATGGCTCAGCAACAGCTTGGGCGAGACAGACCGAGTGTCGTCCGAAGCAGCAGCTGTTCACGACTCGCAAATGGGGTTTAGGATTAGGCGGACCCTTGAGGATAGAGACCCTCTCGATAAGGTCCCTTTTTGCAAGAGCCACAACTACCTAGGAGCACTGCCATCGATTCAATCTGTGGTGCTGTTGATATTCCAAGCAAACGGAGCTCTGTCGACTCTGTTGATTTACTGTGCCTCTTCGTCCTCAACCTCTGCTTCTGCTCATGCTTACTTCGGTCAGACATATCACGGCCAAGCTCCGGGCGCCAGAGCGTAGACTGAAACGGGCTTGGCAATGCCCTGCATGGCCCACACCTGGGAGGGTGACGCAAGCAGAGACAAACTGTTTACCTCAGAGGTCTGAAAATGCAGTTTCAAAGCTCCGTATGCTATATCCCATGGAAATGTCGAGATTCCGATTGCAATCCTCCCGGCTCCTAAGAAAGAACTCGCTAGGCTACATCGTTTCAATTCAATCAGTATCTTTCCTCTGCCGCCATGGAAGCCTGAAGATGTCAAGACACTTGAATGATAGCTTGAAGGTATAGCACCTAGGTCGTTGTAGTTTCATGTACCCCAAAGCCCCGTTCTACCTCTTCAGGCCCCTATATGCACCGATATTAACAATATTCAATGCATGCGGTCTTCTCTTGGTTGCGATCGTATTGGTAGGCATCCCAAACTTGTTTGCAACATCAGACGATGAGCCTCCGATGATTGCAGGAAGGCCACATCAGACAGGGAGAGTGACTGACGGACAGACCCTCAACCCCTAAACAGAGAGAAAAACAGGGACAACGAGAAGGGGAGAGACAGAACAAGACAGAGAGGCAACTGCTTGGCTGGGTCGCGCACATGGAAGTCTATGTGGTGGGAGTTGAGGTAATACCTTCCGCATCGTCGAGGAAAGTGAGATACTTCCAACAATTTTACTATAGGAAAAGTTAAAGAAATACTAAAGAACAGGATCCTCAACACACACATACACACATAGACATGCACATTTCATATATATCTATAACTGCATACAGACATATACACATGAGCTCACATGTGTAGAGAGAGAGAGTGAGAGAGAGAGAGAGGGAGAGAGACAGGTATATCCCCAGACCCTAAAACCCACCAGAAGGATCCTGAATATCTGGACGCAACAGATGCCCAAAGCGGCTCACGAGATGTCCGACGAGATACCAGCCTCGGCGTACTTGGGTCTTCTAAGGTTCCATACGTGGCTTGTTAGGGGTGCTACGAAGCCTACAGGGCACTGTGAGGGTGCTAGAGGGCTCTGTCGATCAAGGCCCTTTAAAGCTCTATAGCATTCTACTATTCTAGAATCTTTTAGGGCTGTCGGGTTCTGAGAACATCTGAGGGGCGTTTGGGGAAGCAGATAACGCCAGTCGTAAGGCCTTGCATGGATCAGACCTTTCGGCACTGTCTGCTTTTTCTACAACTCCGAGCAGAGCCGCAGGCTGCTGTACAGGCTGTACAGATGCGCCCATCCCTCAGAGAGACTTCGCGGGAAGCAATTCGAGGAACACGGCGTGTCGCACGCTGCGGCGAGATCCGGCAGCAAAGCCTATACTGAACTTAGACCCCAAGCAAAAATGATCATTTTAGCTGCTTCTTAGGGTTTATAGTAGCCAGAACTTAAAAACTATTTCTAAGTACCCCTAAGAAGCTTTTGTCTGCTCGTCCTCATGGCTCTTGACCTCAGTGCGGATACTCCACTGGGTCTGTGGCTTCCAAAGGGGATCAAAGAGGGAGAGGATTTAGGGTTTAGGGTTTAGGGTTCAGGGTTGTGCCGAGGCGCGCCACAGCGCAAGAGCCGCTTTGTGTTCGTCCGCACGGGCATGCCCGGCTGACTGGGAGCCTCACACAACGAGAACCACGCCGGAATCCCAGGACTTCAGGACTTCAAGCGACGTCAGAGCAAAACCCCAGTACCCTGAACCCGAGGCCCTTCAGGGTTTAGGGTTTAGGGTTTAGGGTTTGGGGTTTAGGGTTTAGTTTTTTAGGGTTTAAACCTCCCTAACCTCAAATTCCCAAAAGCAACCTGAATCTAAATCCTTGTAGAACCCTCGATCCAACAAGCAACCTCGAAGGCTCGTGGGCAAGGAGATGCAAAGACACTCCACAAAGCTTAGCGCGTGGCTTAAGTTCAGGGTTTAGGGTGTAAGTGTTGTTTTTGTTTGAGGGCTTTTTTCTGCGGCGAAGTCCTACAAAGAGCGCTCAGAAAACAGGCTTGCACCATCCCTTGCCAGCACAACAGGCATCTTGACCCGGTGCAAACTCGAGAACTCATAGACTAAGTTTCGGGTTTGAGGTCTAGGGCTTAGGGTCTAAGCTTAGGGTTGACGGTTTTGGGGTTTACGGATTCGAGCTAAGGGCCCTCGGATGCCTTCAGTTTCCGCCCTCCGCAACTGTGAAGCTGCCATCGATGCCGTCCCTGGCGCATTTGGGAACAGGCGCAGGGTACTATAAGGGTTGCTAAAACAAAAGGGCTGCTATAAGGGATTCGAGGGTTTGGGGTTGGAGGGGCTTTGGGGCTTTCCTGTTTGGGGGATTTTCGGGATTTAAGCCCTAGTCCCTAACCCTAAACCCTACACCCTAAACCCCTAAACCCAAAACCCTAAAACGGGTGCAGTGGGTTTCGAAGTTCAGGGGCTGAAGGGTCTCAGGGGGCTTGAGGGCTGCGGGCCTTGGGATTCATGAGGGATGTGAGGGTCTCATGTAGGGGCCTTAATAGTCAGAATAGGGGTTTCGGGGGTTCCTTATTACAGTTATGAATATACCATACCCCAAACCCTATTCAAGGCTCCTATCGAAGGGTTGGGCAGGTTTTGAGCATGTGTGTGCTTGTGTCTGTCTCTTTCGCGTTTAGGGCTTGGGGATCAGGATATTGACGGCTTTGAAGCAACGACTCTTAAGTGAGCCTCGTGTGGAGGTGAGAGTTCGTTGGGCTCCTCCAAATCTACGTCGCAACACAGAGGCCTGTGTCAACTGCGTGCTCTGAGGACTTCTTTCCCAGGTTGTGGAACCCCTACAGGAACCTAAACCGCTAAACAGCTGAAGAAACCCGGAGACCATCCGAAAGACTAGATAAGATGTGGGTAGTTCTCTAACTTAGAGTCCCTTTTTGGGCTCCCAATATAGTACGGCACCCTTATGATCAGGACCTTAAAAGGGACCCTAATTTAGAGAACTACCCATGTCTGGGTGGTTGTCAAAACTATGGTCCCTTTTTGGGTCCTTATTATAATACGGCACCTACTATTTAGGGTACCCCAAAAGGGACCCTAATTTGGAGAATATTAATCCCTGGGTCCCAAACCCTAAACCCTAAACCCTAAACCCTAAAACCCTACCTTTTAATAGTACCCTAAATAGTAGGATCCCTATTCTAAGGACCCCCAAAGAAGGCACCCCTTAGTTTTGGAAACTCCCAAAAACCCTAAACCCTAAACCCTAAACCTAATTTAGAGAACTACCCATGTGGCTCCGGGCTCGGGGTTTCAGGTTTAGGGCCCACCTGAGCCGCGCGATCGCCTCGTCACGGCCGATGGCCCAGATGACCTGAATGAACAGTAGGGTTTTAGGGTTTAGGGT